TAGTATAGACAAAATAATTATATTTCTTCTACAATTCGATCATTTTTTTTTTGGGAAATTCATATGTTAGTTTTTGTGTATGTTTGGACGTTGTTGGAATGAATGAAAAACAAAAACTGCTTTGGGTTTAATGGGTGTAACTGTTTTTAAAATTGGTATAACTATTTTTGAGTATTGACATTAATGTATGTTTTCAAAAAAATGTTAATATGTCATTGTTTGTTAGTTGTTTTATTTTATTCTCAGATTATTAATCAAAGATTGTTATATGTTGTTCGTTTTTTGGGATGAATGGAGAAAAATTGTTTTGGTTTTTAATGCGTGTAACTATTTTTTAATTAGAGTTATGTTTTAATTGTGTGCAATTTTTCAGTCAATATCTATTTTGGAAGATCTTGTATATTTGTAAATTTTCATTGTTTTATGTTTTTCTCCCAGTACGTAGATAATTAATTAATTGATTTGTATTAATATTTTTATAGCCCCAAGAGCTTTCCGATACAAAGAGCTCAAGTCAGCCACAAAAGACATTTGACACTGTTTACGGATCATTTGACACTGTTTACTAAGCCTTTTTCATAGAATCAGGAACTGTTACTGCAGTGAAAAGATCAAAGCATTCTCATGAATGTAAAACTGAATTCTTAGATGAATTGTCCAATATTTCTTGTTTGAGGCACAAATATGTCTAAATTGGGTAACCCATTGAAATGGTCATACAGAGACCACATTGGAATTTGTTTGGCCTCTATTTTGATTTACCTCCATTAAGAATGTGAACAACAATTAATACACCAAGACAAAAAGGCCATTAACATTATACTTGATTCAGTAACAGATATTCAAGACAGTTACAACACAAATAAGATACAGTTATTCAAGAGTTAATCAATAAAGTTACCCATAACAAATAAAAAAATTGAATCCTTAAAATCATAAAAATAGTTACGAAACACAGTTAAACCCATTAAATTTTGAATGTGAATTGTCTATATTTGAATCATAAATAGTTACTTAAAACAGTTACGTAACTATTTTTAATCAAAAAAATCATGAACCATAAAGTTGTCAATAATAGACTTATAAGAATTGAATCCTTAAAATCAGAAAAATAGTTACGCAACACAGTTAAACCCAATAAAATTTTAAATATGAACTGTCTATATTTGAATCTCAAATAGTTAATTAAAACAGTTACGTAACTATTTTTAATCAAAAAAATCATGAACCAAAAAGTTGCCAATAACAGACTAATAAGAATTGAATCCTTAAAATCAGAAGAATAGTTACGCAACACAGTTAAACCCATTAAATTTTGAATAAAAAAAAGTCTATATTTGAATCCCAAATAGTTATTTAAAATAGTTACGTATCTATTTTTAATCAAAAAAATCATGTTCCAAATTGTTTTTTTTCATATAAAGATGTTATAATATATTTGCAAATTCTTAATATAATTTTACAAAATTAGGGTTTAGGGTTTTATTTTTGAATCAACTTACACAGGTTTTTGAAAAAAAAAACTAAATAATTAATGAATGAAAAAAAAATAGAATGTCACATCAAATTTTCGGTGAAGAAGTTGTCGGAGATGCTGAACAGGTTCTGCACGATATCGACGACGATGAACAGGCGGATTTTGGAACTATCGTAGTACTCTTTTTTTGTGGAATATTCAATGGTTAAAATAGAAATAATAAACAATTATGTCATTCTATGGATATCTCATTGCCATGGAATCAGAATGCCGAAAAAATCAGGATGCCGAAGAATAAGGGTTTTGATAATTAAATCCCCTTTTTTATCTCCCATGAACTAATTCTAGCCATAATATACGGAGGAATACAAATGGGTTCTACGTTTCCATTGTTTATCAAATGACAATACTGGTATTTTTAAAAAATATGCACTTTACTTCAAAGGAGTCTAAAAATTGTATCAAATTTTAAATTCCCAAAAAAAAAAAAAGGCTTCTGTAGGCCCAGTACCGGTAAAGATACAAATATTTATGCAGCCACGCCAAACTCTGATAATCATATACAACAAAGTGCATTAATTAAAGTAACTGCTTACATGTCACTTTGTCTTCAAGTCAAGGAAAAACAACTGAATCCTAATGAAGATAAAGCAAAACTGCACAAGTTTCGCATGGACTAAGACGTCCTAATAAAACATTTTCTACCAAGGAGTTGGGTAGGCTGCATACCCTCTGATGTAAGGGATATTTTATTTTTTTGATTGTAATTAATGACCAATTTTATTAGTTGATGAAAGTCCGAAAGAGTCCATAAAAAAAGGGGGGGTTATTGGTTTTGTAGTGTGTTTTAATCGTATTGTTTTTAAAATGTTCTTACTCTATTTTTGATATATTAATAGTTTGTCAATTTTGTGCTATATATATTTGAATTTTTGTTAATTTATTTATTAAAAAGATTTGACGAGATAATTTGGTTATTATCCAAATTAAAACTAAACCTATATTAAGAATTATGAAACCTAATGACCTGTCATTCCACAAGATATAAAACTCATTATTACTTTCATGTTTTTTATCACGTGCCTAAAGACCATACCGAAGAGAAGACAATGGAAATGTCACTTTGAAAAAGAACATAAATGATATATTTAAAAAATATGGTTAATTGCAAATTATACCTTAAAAGATCCGTTGAATCTCAATTTGTATCTTTAAAAATTAAAAATCTTAATTTACACTCTAAAAATTATAAATTTGTATCAATATCCATTTAAAACTAACAGCCGTCAATTTGCTAACTAAAACAAGTCAAGTAAATTACACCTTGACCCCCTCAAATTTGTCACTTAATCATTTTAATCTCTCATATTTATAATATTACTCATATACCTCCTGTCGTTTGTTCACGTGTAATACGTAACCCCTTATCTTTGATATCTGTCAATATAATTTTCATACTACCTTTTATTTTGTGAGGTCCGTTAAAGTTCAAAATTAAGATTATCATTTAAATGTTCAATATAATACAACTATTTATATAATATTTTTTATATCTAATGCAATATATCACTTGAATAGAATTATTTGAATGCCCAATTGAAAAAATATTTTTGGTCATATTTAGATTCTTAAGGGATATAGGTGTAATATTTTAAATGTGAGGGGTCTATCTGATTGAATGACAAACATGAATAGTTTAGGTATAATTTATCCATTTAGATTTATGAGGAAAACAAACTCTAAGGCAAACTAACTGTTTTTAGTTTCAGGTGCGCATTAATACAAATTTTTATTTTTGAGGGACAAATTGAGATTTTTTTATCTTTGAGGGTATAAATCATGGACATTAAAATCACAATCAATACAAATTTCTATTTTTGAGGGACAAATTGAGATTTTTTTATCTTTGAGGGTATAAATCATGGATATTAAAATCACAATCTGACTCCTACAGTCCTACGATCTAAATTTAACAAATCAATCCAGATCGTATACAAAATTATTGGTTAGTGGAATCGATATGGATCGAGATTCGGATGCTTCAAAATCGTAGGATCCTGGTCCCAAATATGATCCTACTCTTGGAAAGCCGCACAAGCTTTTTTTTACTCATTTTGAAGAAGAATGTGATATCTCTGTTTTTTCTCTTTAATGTTTAATGTTTACCTGTTACAACCTTAAATTATAATTTTTTTGTATTTGCCTCTTCTTTGGTTTATAACTTGAATGTTATAACATTAATGTGAAAGGTCTACCTTTGGAGCTACGTTCTCAATTTTATTTGAATTAGCTTGTGGTACGCATATTAAATACATGTCTATCATCATATATTTACATTAAGTACAGAGACAAGGTTTGATTCATTGAAATCTTTGTTGTTGATTGTATTAATTTTTAGTTCTATTTTCTTTAATAAGTAGGATCTTACGATTCTCGATCCAATCCTAGAACCACCCCCATCGATCCAAGGTAGGATCTTGATTTTAAAAAACCTTGAAACAAATTGAGATTCAAACGATCTTTTGAGGTGCAATTTATAATTAGCCCTAAAAAATAATCACGAGAAATGCACAACTCAAAAAAAAGGGTTAATCGCAAATTATATCACGAAAGATTGTTTAAATCTCAATTTGTATTTTCAAAGATCAAAAATTTCAATTTCGCACCTAAGGCTAATAGCTGTCATTTTACTGTCAAAAATTAAATAGATAAATTATACATAAACCTCCTCATACTTGTAACTTAATTACCTAGATTTTTCACATTTTAAATATTATACCTACATCTCATGAGAATCTAAATATGACTAAAAATGTTATCTAATTGGGCATCAAAATAATTCTATTGAAGTGATATATTGTATTTGATATAAAAAATATTATATAAATACTTGTATTATATTGGTCATTCAAATGTTAAACTTGATTTTGAATTTTAGAGTATAACGAACACATAAAATAAAAGGTAGTATGAAAATTATAATTTTTTATTATGATCAAATCATGATTTTTTATAGTTATATTAACAAATATCAGTTAACACAAGTTAGAAGGTGTAAGAGTAATATTCTTAATGTGAGGGGTTCAAATGATTAAGTGACAAACTTGAGAAATCTAGGTGTAACTTACCTAACTAATTTTAAATGGCAAACTGACGGCTATTAGTTTCAATTGCGCCTTGATACAAATTTGTATCTTTGATAGTGCAAATTAATATTTTTGATCGCCGGAGGTATAAATTGAAATTCTAATGATCTTTTGGAGTATAATTTGTGATTAACCAAAAAAAATATCACGACAAACGTACAAACCTTAAAAAAAGAACATGTGAAACGCATTACTAATTAGGTATGACAAAAACCAATTTAATTAAGGTTCATTTGCGCTTTTCATATTACACCCACCAATTCAGAACCCCCTGCTTAACTCTCCCATCAACCAACCCAATACACCAGAAACTGTCAAACATCCACAAATTTCTCTCTCCTAAAACCAGAAAACACATGGCTTCCCTTTCATCTTCAATGAAGTCAAACTTAAGCACAAGTTCAAGCTTTGATGAGCACCAATGGGTCATTCAAATACGCCTAGCCCTCGATGAAGAGCTTGAAGAAAATACCCATGAAATCCCAGTCAGCATCTTCAATGTCCCAAGGCCCCTAATGGCTAGCAACCCAGATTCTTACACCCCACAAGAAGTTGCATTAGGCCCTTACCATTATTGGCGTCCCGAGCTTTATGAAATGCAGAGATATAAGATCGCAGCAGCACGGAGAACTCAGAAACAGCTTCAAAACCTCAAGTTTCAACATGTTGTTGAAAAGCTGATGAAGTATGGGCCTAGGATTCGAGCTTATTACCACAGGTAGGTACCTCGATTTCAATGGCGAAACATTGGCTTGGATGATGGCTGTTGATGCTTCGTTCTTGCTTGAGTTCCTTCAAATCTTTCCGTTCAAACAAGGTAAGGAACCAACTAGAGTCTCATCAAGAATGTCACATTTGGTTGATGTTGCAGGAAGAAAGTCTGCACATAATGCTATTCTCAGAGATATAGTGATGCTAGAGAATCAAATTCCATTATTTCTACTGAGAAAGATGTTAGAAATTCAATTTTCATCAATGGAATTAGCAAACAACATGCTGGTTTCAATGTTAATGGGTTTATGTGAAGAGCTTTCTCCATTCAAATTCATGGAAGAAGAACACCCAAATCTTCAAATTTCAAAGCGTGCTCATTTGCTTGATGTTTTGTACCATGTATTCATGCCGGAATTCGAGGAACCAACAGAAATAACTGAAGCCGAGGAAGAGAGAGGAAAGGAAGGTGAAGGTGAAGGAGACTCTTTGGGGGAGTCAAGTCACATTAAATAATGCTTTGGTGAGGTTTGGAAGTTTATTTCCAAATTAGATCACGGCGCACTACGTTCCATCAAGAGATTATTATTTGCAAGACCTATTAAAGTCATATTAAAACTACCATGGACAATTGTTTCTAAGCTTCCTGTATTCAAAGTCTTGAAACAAGGTTCTGAATACTTCTGCTTCCCCCATGATAAAGAAAACATTAAGCCAGAAAATGAGAATTCTAGTGACAAACCCCCGTTGGTTGAGGAGATTTCAATCCCTTCTGTCACAAAACTCTCCGAAGTTGGTGTGAAATTTTCATCCACTAATGGTGGCACTTTAAATTTTGGATTTGATTGTAAAACTGTTACATTATACCTACCCACCATTAGTTTAGATGTAAACACAGAAGTGACCTTAAGGAACTTGGTTGCTTACGAATCCTGCAATGCATCTGGGCCCTTGGTTTTGACTCGTTACACAGAATTAATGAATGGGATTATTGATACGGCTGAGGATGCCAAGTTGCTGAGAGAGAGAGGGATTATAGTGAACCGATTGAAGAATGATAAAGATGTGGCTAACATGTGGAATGGGATGAGTAGGTCTGTGAAGTTGACAAAAGTGCCCTTCTTGGACAAAGTGATCCAAGATGTGAACAAGTATTATGACAGTTGATGGAAGGTTAAAGCTGGGAAATTCATAAAGGCGTATATTTTTAGGTCATGGCAGTTTCTCTCATTGCTTGCTGCTATTCTGTTACTGTTGTTGGTGATTTTCCAAACGTTTTGCTCAGTTTATAGCTGTTCTCGAATCATTCATGTCCCAAATCTTCAGTGATTTCGTATGCTGTCTCAAGCCTCAACCATGAACGACGGTTTCTTGAATAATCATCTAAAGCTTTTCAATGGAACAATGCTTCATTACATGTTCATCCGTGTGTGTTTTTCCCCTTGGTGTTTGTGGGGTGGTTTTTTTTATTTTTTTATTTTGGGGGAATCAAAGAAATGTTCATGGAGCTTTTCCCTCTCTTCAATTATTGATGTCGAATTTGATTTGATTGGCATATACCACCAAAGTAGTTGGAATGTGATTCTAATTTAGGATGATTGCTTTGAAAGTCTAATATTATATGATAAAATGATGGAATTTAAGACTCGGAGTAAATACAAACTCGAGGATAAGTTCAACTTTTAAAAATTTTAAATAAATTTTTTAGATATCAATAATAGTGTCGGTAGTTGTAATATTATATGCTTATAGAGAGCTACAATAATTTCAAATGAATCATTTAACTACTATTTGAATAAGTAGAATTTCTCACAAGCAAAATCATACATGGCATCCGCTACAATTGATGAGTTGTATCAGATTGCATGGTTTGCGAATACAATTTTTGGGTACAAAATAAAGTTGGTCAAAGTTAAAGAGTTTAAGTTGCTTAAACTAATGTATCAACTTGAAAAAAGTGACAAATACTAAGAATTATGATGTAGAGAGAGACAATAATAAAAAAGCGTTTGGCCAGCGTTTTATTACTGGCATTTGGGGGAAATGCCAAGAATTAGCGATATTTTTTGGCTTTTTTTAAAAACCGCATTGCGGTCTTGATTTTTGGCAAATTTTAACACCACCCCCTAATTCCTCACTTTCCCCCTTTTCTCTCTGAACACTTCTTGGCCACTCTCTCTTGCCTGTCACTTAGGTGGTGTCCGATAAAACTAAAAGTTGAATATTGAAAACTGAATGTTAAATTTTTAAATGTTGAATATTGAATGATGAATTCATGAACTATTTAGTATTCACTGAAATTTAAAAATGGATTGAATTAAACTATTTAATAACTACACAGAGCTGACATTTGAAAATAAATTAATTTTTAGTTTTACCATTCAACTCTTTATTTTGAAAATATTTATGAAATATGTTTTCATCTAATAAAAACTACGATATATCAAATCAGTTTAATTAAACAAAATGTGAATTATGTGTGTGCAAAGTGTGTGAATTATGTTAAATTAAACAAAATTAATAATAAAATTAATTTAAGTTAAACTAATAGCGTGTGTATATGTGTGCAAAGTGTGTGAATTATGTGTGTGTAATAATGGATATATGTATGTTTGCAATGAAGACGACAAGGGAAGAAGGACTTACCTGAAGAAGTGAAGGAACGGTGAGGTAGATTGAGGATTTTGGAGAGAAGACTTAGAGTTTTAATAAGATTGTGAAATATTTCAGAGTAGAATTGTCATGCTATAAATATTATTAAATATGTTTTTGCTTAACACTTTTAGTTTTCAAAATTAAAAGGTCTACTACTTAATATTTTAGCCTATTTTTAAAGAGTACTTAATACATTAAGATATTCAAATTGAAGTTATCTAACGAGCTTAATTAATAATGATGAATACATTTAGTTTAAGTGCTGAATTTGGGTTAACAAACACATTCTTACTCAATCGATTGAGATTGTTATCAAGACAATTCACAAATTGATAGAGATTCACCCTTCTCTCTCTGTCTCTCTGTCTCTCACACACACACAGTATTTTCTCAAAACATGCTAAGGCTTTTTCAGTGTTTTTACTTCAAACATCATCAATCGAGATCGGAGGAGGTTGAACCACTACCTTGAAGCATCATCTGATGCTGCTTGCAATCGAGATCGGAGGCGAGAGCTGCAAAGTTGAACTCAGAGAGAAACCGTCCCTGGAGTACTGTTCATGCAATGTAATGCACTATGCTCAGCTTCGACTCTTGTAATAAAGGATGGAGTAATGGTACGTACCAGTGTTTCCTAAGCTTTACAAGTTGGAGATTATGGAGTGTTCCCAATATTTTAAATTTCCATTGTATTACGAACATATCCAATAATTTTGTTCATTTAGTGATTTTTCACCATTTAAAGTCGGTATCAACTAAATGTTTTTTTTTTTTAAATTGAATAACGGTAATGACTGTTGTAATAGTAACTGATGATGTGTATAACACGATAGAACAAAATTTGGGGATCACTGAATGACTCAGTCTGAACTCCTAGGCTTTTGAGAATTGAATTATGGGGAAAGGGGTTTACGACACAAGAAACTTACAGTGATTCACCAACTTAAGAGCTCGGTTAATTCACTTTTAAGGGAGTCTCTTGCTTTTGGGATTTATATTAATAAAGAGGGGGAATTATACATGATATTTGCTTCTGATACAATTGCTTATATTTTTCTTGAGAGGGGTTATGCCTCTTATCCTCTTATTTATAGTTGGCCTAAGGACTCGCCTGATCCATGGCGTGATTCTTGTCTTTCTCTTGTAACGGTTACACCTATCTTACAACGACGGAGGTGGCTGTTGAGGCAGTTGTGACTTCTTTGTTTGGATATGTGACCGTTACGATTTGCACGGTACTTGGGCGGAAGACAATCGTCATCTGTGCCATATAGGCAGAGGTGCAGTTGTTAGAGAAGAGGTGCCGACCTCGAGCTTCCTAGTCATCAAGGGTGGGCTGAGTGCCCGATCTGGGGAAGTCTGAGCTGATTACCGGAGCTCAACATTGGGCATATTTTGGGTATCATCAATAATAATAATGGTGTAATGAACGAGGAGTGAAACGAACGTTACACAACAATAACAAAAATTGGAGATGTAAAATTTTTTTTCTTTGACTCACAATACCTAGAAAACATGAATATTTATAAGTTTCAATTCTAAAATAATGCAAATATGAGTGTTTATCGATTTTCAGTGTATTTTATTGTACATAAACATGTTAATGAAATATTAAAAATATGTATTGATGATGTGCATAATGATTCCCGAGCAGGAGCTCGAGAACGAAGGTCAAACATGGAGGTCAGATATGCTGGGCTCAGAAAGTCAGAGCTATGCAGAGCTCAAAAAATCAGAGCTAGAGCTCCCCTCAAGCGAGATAATAAGCTGAAGAAATGAGAAAGTAACTGGATACTACAAAGAACTATACAGGCGGTTTGAAGTAACACTAAAGACACAAAATCCTCAACCAACCAAGATACTCTCCTAAGATAAAGAAAAATTCCTCGGATAGATGGCGAGGATCACAGATCAGATCCCATAGATTAAGGGATACCCCTATAAATACTATGTAATGACCCCAACAGAGAGACAGAACCTTAGTATCACATATTACATTCTGTAAATATTTTGGTATAGTAAATAGTGAAGGAAGGAGCAAGAATCTTCATTGAAGAGTGGATTAACCGAGTTCCTGAACTGGTGAACTACTATATTTTCTACTGTGTTAATTCCCCAACTCCCCAATAATTCTCAGTATCATTTTCTCGAGTTTAGTAGCTCAGATCCTAATAATTCAAATATTGTTTCTTTCATTAACTCGTCATCGCAAAATTGCATTACGTTGAAATACACCATCAGTTTGGCGCCGTCTGTGAGAAAAACTGGTCCTATTATAAACAAATTGATCTTTCAGTGACTGATGATATCAACGCGAAACATGAACCGAAGTCAAACAAATCCGCCACAAGCGCAAGATCAACAAGAAGTTGCCAATAGCAGACAACCCGAGAGCGTCCAGGAGACCAATCTCTCAGTGGGGGGTCTCCTCATGAATAACGAGATGGAGGCTCTTCGCCTCTCCAATCAATGCTTGCTGAAATAAAACGAAGAAATTTTAAAGCTCTTACAATGCCCACAGGAGGCACGACAGGCTCAAGAAGGCCAGAACAACCTCCCACCTAGGGAGCAACCACACCTCGACTCCCTCAGAGAAGTTAACGAAAAAGGGGAAAATAGCCAAATCATGGGGCCAGAACCTCGCACCCCCCCATGAATGGCCATAATGACGAAGGACAGAGTCAGAACGAAGAAGGTGAGAGAAATGATTTTTCCCCTATCAACAGGAAAGGAGAGAACATTACTGGCAACAGCACTTCTAGGGTATCCAACAAGAGCTCACCCACATGAAAGAAGTCGTGAGAGGCAGGGCTCCAATTACCATGGATGCCTTAGTACAACAGACTGAATCCCCGTTCACCAGTAGGGTGCTGCATTTTCCCCTCCTTATGAAATTTAGAATACCGCAAATAGACGCTTTCGATGGAACAAATGATCCCGTACATCACCTCAACATCTAGAAGAACCAGATGGAGTTACATGGATACTAGGATCCAGTGCGCTGCAGATCTTTTGCCATCACGTTAAAGGGCTCAACCCTAGCATGGTTCAATAGGCTCCCCCCAGCCTCGATATCCTCTTTTAAGGAGCTATCTATATCCTTTGTGTCTCACTTTATAGGAGCTCGAATGTACAAAAAGTCGAGTTACCACTTGCTAAATGTGAAATAGGGACCCCACGAGAACCTCAGATCCTATGTTCAGAGGTTCAACTCGGAATCGCTAAAAGTGGACGTCCTAGACGAGAAATTTGTCATTACTGTATTTATAGCTGGCTTGGGTGTCCAATCTAAAGACCTGATGTTTTCCATCTTGAAAAATCCTCAGGCCAGCATGGCCGAAGTACTGGCCAAGGGAAAAAAATACATAAACGGCGAAGAAGCTCTACTCTCAAAAATGGGGAGCTCATCCATGCAAAAAGACAAAAGGGAAAGAGGAGAAAAAGAGGGACCGAAGTCCCAGAAGAGAGAGAGGACGAGATAGGTCTCCAAGAAGAGATAGAGATCGCTCCCC